TATGTCCAGGGTTCAATACAGGGGTAGGCCGGTTACGTAGATATACGGTATAGAGGCACTCGGAGAAAGTAAGGCAACACAAATTTATACATCTTCTTCATTACACGGTTCACGTCTGTTAGACAGTCTAGTGCACATTCTTCTTAAAACTTCCGCATAATTTTCTTTTCTACCCATTTTTTATATTTTTCTTTCAGCTTCAAAAATATTTATTTATTGAAACTAACAACTATCATGACAGGAATAACCTAATGCGACAGTGTAGTTCTTTTTATGCATATAAAGAAATGTAGAAATTAACTGTAACAAATTGTAAACAATCCCACCCTAGTAAATTCACTCAAGAAGCAATAGAATAGGTCAATGTCTTCAGCCATTCTATTAAGAATGCGTAACGTTCGCGTTAAAGGTGCTTTATCTAGTAAATTGGTTCGGGCGCGCGGGACGTAGAGCACTCGCGGCCGCCGCCATTTCCATACGTACTCGTCTGGAACACACAACCCAATCCGCCCCAATATGCCACTATTATATATTTTTCCCCAAAGCACTTTAAAAATATATAGGGCTAAGGCGAGGTCTCGTCTTACCCTCAACTCGTTGTAGCCAACCATATCCAGAATAAATAAGGTTGGGTACATTAATGGGTACATAGGGTATACCCCATAATGGCGCATATATAGGTATCTAATAAATTTATTTTGCACTCGTTCTAGCATTTTGCTATACCTTTTTTCATGTGGTGACCATATTACCGCGTTACACTCCAGATTACTTCTTACCAGTGTATTATACATAGTAACGATTAAATTAATGTTAGTAAAACCGTGAACTGTGCGAAGAATGAAGCCCAAGTTTCTATACGCTTTTTTGCAGCAATTGAGAATGTGTTCCCTAAATGATAATTCACTATTTAGCCGAACGCCCAGATCTTTAACTTCTTTTACTCTTACCATTGGCGAACCATCGACTTCATAGTTATATTCAATGGGCGTGCGCTTTCTAGTAAACGAAATGGTAACACACTTGGAGGTGTTAAACTGTAAACGGTTATTATTGCTCCATGCCACTACTCTGTTTACGTCCTGTTGTAGCTTTTCACAGTCTGACAATGTTTCTACGACATGATACAACTTGAGGTCGTCAGCAAAAAGAAGGCACCTAGATTGCTTAACTACCTCCGGCAAATCGTTAACCAGTAACCAGTGGCCCTAAATTACTGCCCTGGCTTACTCCAGATTTTGTAATATATGGGTCCGACGTATAGCCGGTATATTCCAAATACTGCTTTCTATCTGTCATATAGCCGGCAAATAATTTTAATAAATGTGGAGTGAAGCCAACTGCCGCTAACTTTTTTAGTAAGACGTCGTTATCCACTAAGTCAAACGCTTTTTTTAAAGTCAAAGTAGGCGGCATCGATCTGCACCCCCCTATCCACTGCGGGCACAACTTCAGCCATGTAGCTAAGAAGGTTGCTAGTAGTACTTTTCATTGGGCGAAACCCATACTGTGCTTCCGAGAGCTGCTGATTCACCTGCACGAATATTTTGTCATACATGAACGACTCTAACACTTTAGCTGCTGATGAAAGCACGGCCACAGGTCGATATTCGTGTACCTGAGATCCTACTTTTCCTTTAGGAACCGGAACGACCCGTGTGGTTTTCCATCTATCGGGAAAAACAGCATTGTCCAGACATTTGGAGTATATGTGCATTAACGGCTCAGTTAACACGAAACGGCAGTCCCTGAGAATATATGGTGGAATGCCATCCGGTCCTGCGGACCTTTTTGGTTTCAACTTTTTTTAAGGCACGTTGCACATCCTGAATACTCAGACTTTCTATATGCACCCGCGCAGCTGCGTTGACACCACCAGCCGCTATTATTGCCTCGGTGACGCTTAGGTTGGGTTGTTCCGTCCTATACACTGAATGGAAGTACTGAGCAAACTCTTCTACACATTGCTTACCACTCAATACTTGTCCATTTTTCAAAATTTGTTTTTTGTTTAGGCAGCCTCTTTTAGATCGTATGTAATTCCAAAAAGCTTTTGGATCTTCTACGAGATGGCTTTGGACGCGACGCTGATGTTGCTCCTGCGCGAGTTTTATCATTTTTTTTTAACTTTCGCTTGACACTTAGAAAACAATTCATAATCGTTTTGTGATTTACTCATCTTTACCTCTTATGGCGATCTGTTTTTAATTTTAACGCGCGTATTATCTCAGTTGTATACCACTCAGGATAAATATACTTTGACCTTACCTTACTTACTTTTTTCCTAGTTACACAATTATCTAATATATTATTTATAGTACAATAAAAAAAATCAAGGCTTGCTTCTAAATCTAGACCATATATTGGAGACCTGTCTATAAGTATAAGAGGAAGTTAGCTTTGCTAAACTTCCAAGCGGGTCTCTCGTAGCATTCGCTGTCAATGGGGCCCTGCGCAGAAGAGGTTTCGTCTGCGGCGGATTGCAACCACACTATTACCTCAAGCGAGGGATGGTGCGCATCCACTAGCACAAGCTCCAAATCAGCCGCATACACCCTCACCGATTCCTCACCATCAAATATACTTAACACTAAATCCAATTGTCGTTCATTACAATTTCCTATTCTATTGCTCTGAGAAAACTGACAGTATGTTACAAAATGTTCATAGTAATTACGTATAGCAGTGGAGCGTAAATACAAATTAAAATCTCCTAGTACTATGACTTCACTGTATTTACTACAACATTGCTCGATTATTTTAAATAATAACATATATTCGTTATCACAACTACCTGGTGAAATGTAAACAACGCATATAAATATAAATCTAAATATAAATCTTTCTCTTAAATATACCCTAGCACAAACTAGTTCAAATACGCGACAATCTATGTTGATGTCACTCGATATAGGTACAAACTGCAGTTCGAACCGCGGTGTGGCCACTAGACAAGCGCCGCCTTGTTTCCGCCCGTCTAACATTTTGTATCCAGGTGGAATAACTTCAGAGTCTTGAATAGATTCACTAAAGCCGGTTTCCGTAATAGCAAACAAATCGGAACTCGAGCTAGCAACGGCCACCCAGAATTCATCTAATTTCGTTCTCAATCCTCTTACGTTCTGGTAAAAAAATTCAATAGTTTTCCTAAAGCTTTTTTGGTTTTTCGGTGTATCGACAAAACCACACCCATTCACAAAATTCAATATTTAAAGCCCAATTTTCTGGTAAACATATCTTTTTTTATAGTGACTTTTCGGAACCCCTATTATAAACGAAGCATAATCCCGTTCAGTCTTATATTTAATTTGTTCAACCTGAACTTGAACTTCAGCCCCACATATGTTTTTAACATGTGTTTCTATGCTTTCTCTCGTAGTGTCCTTCTTCAGTCGCCAGACATGTAAATATTTTTTACGTTCAGTACCTTGTATACCCGATAGACTCGTGTTACCTCCTCTTTTTACCTCACTATTAGGATACCTATTGTTTTTTCTTTTTTACTACTGTCCAGTTTTCTTCTTTTTCCAATGTGTCCTTCGTATTCTTAGTTGAATTTACTGACACTGAATTAACTTGGTTTTCATTAATTGAAACTGAGCATTTATGAACACTAGATTTCGTGGCCACACCATTTTTCTTGGATTCATTATTAAAATTATTTGAGCTCGAGTTCGGCGTTTTTTCACTTATTGATACCGTACTATTATTACAATGAGATGGTGATTTTGCGACTACCCTCTCATTATTTGGGCCGTTATTTTTAATTACCGTATTTTTATTCTGCTTCGTTATATTATAAAATGACACTAATTGCTCCACATTTGTTTGTAATATTTCCTTCGTAGTATTTTTTACTGTTAAAGTACTGGTAAAGTAGACGGTAGACATTCTCTGTGTGCTCCGCACGATTTAAATCCTTAAAATTTGTTTCATAGTTATTTCAATCGATAGAAGTTAAATACCAAGTCTCTCTATTCTGATTATCAAGTGATAGTGTTTTCTAAAAGTGTATTTATCTAAATCATAACTTTTTAATCGGCATAAAAAAGTCAGTGTAAATATAAAACACTCATAAACTTATTCAATAACAGTGTATAAACCAAGTTACCCTAGATGTGTTGTGTCGGACGTTGATAGAAAATAAGTGAAAAGAAAAATTGTTGTTAAAAATCAGTTAACGTTTGAATATCTAAAACTTTCCATGATCGATAACACTGCGTTAACCAATCAGCTGAGCGCTAATCATAAATTTAAAATATAGTAATGACATTTTTGAATCGTGATGAGTGCCAATAAATTGGTCTAATGGTCTAATGCGCTTGCACGAACGCCGTATGTCGTGAGATCGAATCTAATCCGATTGTGAAAATTACGTTTTTTCTTAGATTAAATAAATTTTGGTTTTACAACAAAAGTTAAAACATTTACAATTTATAATATAAATCTGAATCTGACTATACCTACTATTAGAAGAAAAAAGAATATTTGTGTGGATTATAACAGAACAACTTAAGACATGACAAAACGACTTTATAAACTATCTGAACTTTTAAATAACTTTTAAAATCGCAATACAAATGTCATAGATAATTATTATACGACGCATGACAAAAAAAACTATATGATAAGGCCCTCAACACACTATGATTTATTTTGTGATTATTTAAGATATATAATATTAAGGATTAGATATAACTATTTCGAAAAATGAATACCGGAAATTCACTACAACAAGAAAATGTGACAATAAGAAGACCTGCTAAGTGTAACTCGGAGAATGACTTAACGAAACTAGAGATCGATATGACATCATCGTCGACAATGTTATTTGAGAATACTATGGACAGTTTACCGAATTTATCAACAATTGAGAATCCTATAGTAGTTGAGTTAAAAGTAAATAATAATAATTTAGCCTTAAAACTACAGTCAGTAAAGAAATTGAAAATCTAATAACAGAAAATTTTAAACTTAAACGTGAGTTGGAAAATTGTCAAATGGTAATTAAAACACTAAAACAATTAAATTCAACTCAAAATAACGAAGCACGATCTACAAACTCAACACCGAGAAGAAAGGGAACTAAACAAAATAAACTTATACCACTACAAGATATCCTGTCACCATTGCTTAATAATATAAAATCTACAAATCAAGATTCTACGGCTGATAGTAGTATACTGACAGTTACTGGTGATATATTAACTAAAGACAGTAAAACGGATACTGCAACAGACACTTATACATACTCTGACAGTAACATGCACAAAAAAGAAAACAGTAATATGTGGATCACTAAAAGAAACAATAGTTTTAGCAACAAATCTGAAATAGCGTTAAATGTTCAGCAGCAAGATGTTGTAAATAAAGTTATTGACAAGGATAACATATCTACTTATATTACTAATAAACGGTCAATATTGGTGGATCGTATATCTGCAAAAAAGAAAATCATAATTATTGCTGATCAGTATGGGAAAAATGTCAGACACTCATTGGAAAAACTTCTGGGTCCGGAATATCAAGTTTACTGCTTTATTAAACCTGGTGCCAAGTCAAGCGAAGTGTTAAATGTTTGGAAACATGAAATATCTTCATTAACATTAAATAATTGTGTGGTTGTACTTACATGATCTAATGATCGTAATCCTTTTAAATTAAAATGTAACTTGATGAGTTGGGTCACCTCATGCCAAAATACAAATGTAATAATATCGGAGGTTCCACATAACAATTACCTAAACTTATTTAAGCTAAATTACGAACTAAAGTTCTTATGTAGCAATTTTAAGCGAGCGGTGTTTTTGGATATGGATTATTGCAAATCTGTCCCACGAAGAAAGCTGTTTGCTTTGAACTTATCAAGGTCATTACTGAAAGAAATTTTAAGTATTAGTTACAGACAAAATTATTTAAATTATATAAAGAACGCTGCTTGTATAACAGGGAACTCAAAGTTGTATTCAAAATGTGATAAATCATGTCAAACAGAGTTTTGTAATGTAGCGATGGTATGATCAGCGAGTAATGAAGCCGATGATTCTTCAGAGTTTTTTCGTGGTCCAAAATAATCTTTATCTCTTGCATCAAAACATAAACGGAATTATTAACAAATCCGACTTACTTGCTGTGTGTTTAGCGGAATTAAAAGATGAAAATAAAATAATTGGGATTATTTGTATAACCGAGCATAATATGGTTGAAGATGACATTAAACATCTATGTATACCAAATTTCTAATTAGCTTCAAGTTATTTGCGAAAAAATAGAAAAGGTGGAGCTTGTATTTTAGTAGACTATAATATTAAGTATAACACAATTTACGAAGTTCAAGCTCTATCCATTAGTAACGAAGTCGAATGTTGTGCAATTGAGCTTGTTGAATTTGGAATAATTATAATATGCATGTACCGAGTGCCTAAAAAATCTGCTAAGGATATTGATACATTTTTAAATATATTGCAAAATATATTACACAAGTACTGTATTAAATCAAAAAAACTTGTCATTGTTGGTGATTTCAATGTTGACATATTAAAGCCAAATATCTTGGCAAATAGCATAACACAAATTTTGAGTAGTTACAATTTAAAATTTGAATTTAATGAACCAACAAGGTTATGTAGTGGTACCTGCATAGATAATGCATTCCATAATTTCACAAAACTAAATAGCGAAATACGAGATTTTGCACTCTCAGATCACACATCCCAACTGCTGAAAATTCCAGTAATGAAGCATCATGCAATGACATATTGGTATGTTTTTAAAAGCGATTTTTGCAAAAAAAATTTAAAAAAGTTTGTAGATTGCCTAAACTCTTTCACATTCAATGAATTATTTTCTTTAGATAATCCTAATGACGCCTTTGATTATTTCTTTGACATTTATAAATTATGTTATGATTTATGCTTTCCGAAAATAAAGATAAGAATGTCTTTAAAAACAAAACCGAAATGGATTACAAAAGGAATGAAGTTGTGTAGCAGAAACAAAAGGAATCAGTTATGGAAATTTCGCCTTAATCCTAATAAAGACTCAAAAGATAAATTTAAAAGGTACACTAAAAATTAAAGAAAATTATTGAACTCACAAAACGATCGCAGAATAACTATTACATAGCAAATGCAAAAAATAAATGTTTAGCTACGTGGTAGGTTATTAAGAATAACCAAATAAATGCCCCTATAAAACAAATCGACAAAATTATATATAATAATCGAATAATAACAAACCCGAAAGAAATAGCTCAAACTTTTAACGATCACTTTATACAAATGGAGCATAAGAAACAGGTTAATGAAGAGAACACAGGTAACTATTGTATACAAGTTAATAAGTCTTCGTCAATGTTTATGGCCCCTGTCACTCCTGTTGAAATATATGAAACAATAAAGTCACTTAAAAATACCCAAAGCACAGGGTATGACGGAATAACTACTAAAGTAGTCAAAGAGACATCATTTTTGATTGCGGGTATTTTATGTCATATAATAAACTTATGTATAGAGCAAGGCAAATTCCCTAAGTCTCTAAAGCTGTCAATAGTAAATCCATCATTTAAAAAAACCGACAGATGTGATGTTGGATGTTATCGCCCTGTTGCTTTGATTACTGTATTTGCGAAAGTTTTTGAAAAAGTTTTATATAAACGTTTAAATAAATATCTCGAAGATAATAAGATACTCGTAAATGAGCAAAAAAGGATTTCGTAAAAATAAATCTGTAAACGCGGCAATTTATGACCTGCTCAACAAAATTATAACATGTATAGACAAAAAAATACATGTGGCCGCGCTATACATGGACATGACTAAGGCTTTTGACTTTGTGGATCACAAAATATTAATAAGAAAATTACATCAATATGGATTGCGAGGGACAGTTTTAGATCTTTTTGAGTCATATCTTACACACAGGACGCAGATTACTGAAATAAGGAGAATATGTCCTATAAAGTTGACAGAAAAGGTTTATCGATCGACACCCCGAGCTGTGTACTACGGCGTTCCACAAGGAAGCGTTTTGGGTCCACTCCTGTTTCTTTTGTACATTAATGACCTTCCATCGGTGATACAACAATCTATGGTCCTTTTTGCGGATGATTGTACGGTCGTTTATGAAGGCAATAGTACCCAAAGCTATGAAATTGAGATTAACAATTCCATTGGTCTTATAATTGATTGGCTCGTAAAAAATAACTTAAATATAAATTTAGAAAAAACTAAAATTATGAAATTTAATTGGCAAAAAGATAGTTTGTCAAGTTTTAATATTAATTATAAAGGTTCACCAATCTATGAAACGATAGAAACTAAATTTTTAGGAATTATCATTGATAACCAACTGAACTGGAAGGCACAGGTCGATAGTGTTTGCAGTAAATTATATAAATTTTCATATGCCTTGTATAAGTTAAATAAAAGAGCAAATACGCAAACACTTCGTATAGCATATTTTGGATACGTTGAGTCAACACTTAGGTATGGTGTAATGTTTTGGGGAAACTCAGTGGATGGGGAAAAGGTATTCAAAGCCCAAAAAAGGTGCATTCGAGCAATCAAAAATCTACACTGGTCAGACAGCTGTAAACCACATTTTAAAGAGCTGCAAATTCTAACTTTTCCCTGTCTTTTTATCTATGAGACGGCTGTGTTTGTCCATAGAAACCTGCCACTGTTTGAAAATTTAAATAATAGAAGGTATCCTCTGAGATTAAAAGTTCGACAATCAAAGTCAGCAATAATGCGAAAAAGTATATTTTGCCTATCCATACCTATATATAATAAAATACCTAATGACATAAAGAAAATAAATAATATACAAAGCTTCAAAAAATCATTAAAAACATTATTAATTACTAAATCTTACTATTCTATTAATGAATACCTTAATGACATAGAAATTAAATGATTGTTTTGGTATACATAATAGTATAATATTTATATTTGATTTGACATACGACATATTATACATTTGACATGATATTATGATAACCTGATGACCTCAGACAAAATATTTATTTTGTCTGAGCCGATGACATCGACATTTTTGATTTCTTTTTTTTTATATATATATAGTTTACTTACGTGACATTAGCTTAAGATGCAGTATTTATTGTTGACTCGTGTATTTAATAATAGTAATAATAATTTGAAAAGATGACATTTTTATTTACTTCACCTTTTTTTTCAATATAGACGTAAAGGCGCCATTACGAAATGTGTTATGTGTCATGGGTATCATTGCAAGACGCTTTTCACTTATAATATATAACATTTTTGTGAATATTTAATACCACCTACAAATGTGATTATTGTATTTTTATAATTTGCAATCAATTTTAATAGTATTCCATTTTGCTGTTATTGGCTATAACGTGAAGAAATATATTTGTACACCACACTGTGGTAGAATACACGGTACCTACTGTAAATTTTTATAACAGCTAACTTACTGTATTCACAAATAAATAAATGAATGAAGAAAAAAAGTAGTTTCCAAAAGTTCATTTATTTCTGTAAGTACTTTAATACGCTCCTCCAACTCATCCACCCTATTTGCTTTTTGATGCACTACATTCATAATACTTTTTAATTCCCGCTGCTCAGTTTCGGTATTAATAAATCTTTTTTCTAGCTGTTTATATTCCTTCATTTGATCGTCGAGCCGAGAAATCATTTCCATGGGGAACTCTCGGATCTCCTCTATAATCCTACTATCGTTACATACTTCGCGGTAATTGTGACGATCTCTTCGTTCTTTGTTCACATATAAAGACGGTGAAAACGATTTTTCCATTACGCAAACTCCCCGAATCGGTGTATTGGTGTTGTCTACTTTCGGAATATTACACCGGCATTCTGGACAAACCCATTTACCTTTCCCTTCTTCAGTAAAATTTTGGTACTGCTCAGCCGTTATTGATACACACATATGATGATACACTTTTCTACATGTTTTTTGAGAAAACTCTATGCATAAAATATCAAAAATCAACTCATTGCACCCATTACATTTTGTTTCCATTTGATTATCCATATTATTATAAAAAAATAACTTATACGTAATAATTAGTCGGCACTACTCGCATAAGCGTCCGTTCGCTTTGCGTCTCGGGTCCTGTTTATATGATAACAACCAGGACGATTGATGCCAAAATTAAAAATGTTGTGATCTATATATTGTTAATCTTTATATGATAATCCTTTTCTTTTATTTCCACAGTATTGGTTCCTTCAGTTTGGGCAATCGTAGTTTCATGTTCTTCATTTCTCGAATTACTATTTCCCATTTTGTTTTTTGGTATGAACATGCGCAAAAACAGTCACAAAGTTAATAATTATATTCTTATTCATTATTATTACGTAGTTGCATTCAATGCCGAGGCACACATGAATGTGAAAAGTCCGCACTTTTAGCCTGCAACCGGACACGTGCGCTTGGCATGGGTCGCCATGAATTATGTTATTTATAATGGGATGAAAGATCAACACGTTTGTTCAACTGTGTTTATTTAATACTGGTTTACTTTCTAATACATCGAATATCACCTACAAGTACATAGGTTACTTCAAAAGAAAAAGGCACGCTGGTTGGTACTTGTGAGGAAGTGGATTGGTTACGTCGGTGC